TTTTTTTTTTTTCCCGAAACGATAGAAATATTATAAATCGAAAAGCACAAATGTGCGAATATACAGCAGCCAACGACTGAATACACAGCAGCCAACAGCTGAAAAAAGAACGAAAAAAAGAAAAAGGGAGGACAGGTCTTCAGAAGTCCGCCTAGAATACCGACTAGCAAACGCTAGAATAAAAAAAAAACTAACAAACAACACAAACAACTAACACAACTACAAGACTCCAACAGAGTAATACCCAAGTGTCGGACCCCAACAGGGTAATACCCGAGTGTTCGAATCCAACAGGGTAATAAAGTGACACTCGGGCGCACAGATTGACACTCGGGCGCACAGAGGCGAAAAGCCTAAACCAAAAACACATCACACAAACAAAACATAACAAACAAACACTAACAAAACACAAACTACAAGACAACACACACAAAACAACAAACACAAAAAATAAAAGACACAAACAAAACTAAAGCCCTTCCAGCCAGCAGCCGTAACCAACCGAACACAACTAGACGCCGACCACCCACACGGACAAGACCCAGTCAAAGTCGCAAGCCAGAAACTGCAGAAACTCATTTGCCTAACTAGACTCGAGATTGAAAACCATGGCCCTCCCGAGTGGACAACCTCAACACCCGTGACCGGAGATCAATAAACAAGCTCCACCATTACAACCCCGAAGACCTGAGACCGGGACACAAGACCCAGCCCCAACTCAACTCCACCAATAAAACCAACAAGCACAAAAGCAGAGAAAACCGGAGAAGGAAGAAAAGCGAAACGGCCCAATCTCAGCCCAACCACCCCTTGTTACCAAAGTAATGATCGGAACCGCAACCCATGGACTAAAGCTTACCGGAAAAATGCCGCTGCTCATACCCCGAGGAGTCGCCGATCAAAACCCTTCGTGGCGACCGATAAAGAGGCGAGATTCAAATTGGGCAAATCCGCCAACTCACCCGGGAAGAGGAAGCCGCCCATCCAATAAGCCTTCGAACGCCGGCCGCACGGCCCAGAGAAGCCGCCGCCCCGATGGCCCGGAGGCCCCTGCTGGAGGAAGGCCACTAGATCTGGTGTTTTTTTTTTAAGAGAGAGGTAGAGGTAGAGAGAGGCGAGAATTTAAGCAAGGTTGAAAATGGCTTGATTATAAAATTGAATTTTACGTAGCTTTACACGTCATTAAATGGGTTTGGGTGTTTGGTTGTGGTACTTATTATTGAGAAAATTACTCCTAAAACTAGATAATTAATATTTTATTACATAAATAAAACCTTGTTGTAAATATTGATAATATACCAAGAACTCTTGTTTTTATCTGCAATTTTACCTGAAATCTATCATATCAACAAAGGACATCCTTAATCAATTCCTTCTTTCGCGAACCCTACCTCTTGCCGGCAACCTCTCCCAAATTCTCCGTTGTTTTGCCTTCTCCAGCGGCGGTAGGCTCCGGCCAGCAGTCGTCATCGACTGTGCGGCCCATCTTGTCGTTGCTCGCTCCTAATTATGCTGCTCCAGGTGTATTCGGAGGAGTTGTCGCGAAGCTGGGTTTAGACGAGTTCTGCGGCGAGCTCGCTTGTTCAGGCGGGGTCCGCGGTGGGTCACCTTTTTGGTGTTGAGGGTGGTGTAAGTGGTGTCGTCGTGCTGGTGTTGTCGATGGCATCGCCGTACTGGTCCAGGCGGGGTCTGCAGCTCGGTGGTTCGTGGCGTTTGCTGCTCTGGTTCTGCGTTTGGGGTGGTGTCTGGTTGGAGTGCGGGCTGGTAGATGGGGCGCAGCTCCGGCGGTTCCGATGTTCGGCGTCGGGCGGTCTGAGTAGAGGAGTTGTTCCGTCTCCTCCTCTTCTTTTGTCCTCTGGTGTTGGGGACGGAGGAGGGCTGGGGCCTTCGATTTCGGCTAGTGGTGTTAGAAGAGCTCGGGGTGTTCCGGCTTTGGGAGCCGGCTGTGGTCCTTCCGGTCGGTGGCGAGTTGGCTTCGGGCTCGATCAAGGGTTACAGTTCGGCTTTTGTATAGGCTTTTAGGCAGTTTCGGAAGCAGTCCCTGGGACTTTGGATCTTGACTGGAGTCGTCTGTTCTCTGCTGTTTGGACTCGTTTTGTTTTGCTCGGGAAGGGCTTAGTTGTAGCTTGTTTTTGTTTTTGTTTTGTCTGTTTTGTGTTGATTGTGTTTGTGTTGCTCGTGTCTTGTGTTTTTGGTTTGGGTCGTTGGCCCCTGTGAGCCCGAGTGTCAAACTGATTATTCTGTTGGGATCTGACACTCGGGTATTACTCTGATTGGGGTCTTTTAAGTTGTTTTTTACTCCGTTTGGGGTCTTTTTAGTTGTTTTCGTTGTTCGTGTTGTTGTTTAGTTTAGTAGGGAATTTTTTTTTCTAGCGTTGCTAGTCGGGATTCTAGGCGGTCTTCGGACCTGTCCTCCCACTTTTCAGCCTTTGGATGCTTGTATTCGCGCATTTGTGCGCTTTTGATTTATTATAATATCTATCATTTCGAGAAAAAAAAAATCATTCATGAGAAACATATCAGTTTCAAAAAACGACTCCCGAGCCTTATGATATGAGTCCTCTCTCTCTCTCACCATATCCATGGTCGCCGCTTTATGTTGGGCTAGCGCCGCCTTTCTCTCAAACCACTAAGATACTGCTCTTTTTTTCGTCGGAGAAAAATCATATGCCCGCAACTTTTTTTTTTTTTTTTTTGTCCATCTAGAATAAGAAGATCACGAAACATTTAACATGCTATTTTTTTATTTTTGGATTGCAGGATCGTTGATTATTGTTCAAAGGTTTTTCCGATTGAATAAATTTATAGGGATTTGATTGTTATGAAGACGTCACTGGAGTTGGCCAGAGATGCGGTGGCTTCTTTTTTTTCGATCCCTGCGGTCGTTTTTTTAAGAGACCACAATGAACTCCGGCAGCTGCGCGTCCCACCCTCATTTCCAGCTGGGTTCGGGGTGGGGGAGAGGTCAAGTGGGAGATGACGAAGGCGAGACTCGAAATTCAGGCTCGTGGAGATGTCAATAGTATATGTTGCGTGTATAGGCAATATATTTTCAGTATATGTTTTCGTCGACACAGTCTTAATGAGGATACGACAATTTGATTGTGAGTAGTGGCGGCATATGGATATTTCTGATAGGATCTGTTTCATTGTTTATTTGATATGTTATTCATAGTATACATTTGGTATATTAGAAGATTTCACGATCTAGTTCATTGTTTATTTGACCTGATTGATTTTGTCATTGTATATTACGAAGACATAAATTGTATATATCTACTTATATGTTATATACATAGTTACATATTATAAACCAAACATAAATTGAATAATGGTTAGGGAAAAAACACAAATGTAATCTAGTATGTATATATATTTTTTTAAAAAAAAATCCTTAGAGCCATTTATATTATATTTTACATATCAATGATGTACATATTTTAGTTATAAATTAAGTAAGAACATTACAATTCTGGTCAGATAATGTATATAAATAAACACAACATATAATAAAAATAAAGTGAGTATAAACGCAACATACACTGAAATACACTGTCAATATACAAATAAAACACAATGCGATTTAAATACAAGAATAAAAATAAAAATTAAAGTGTCAGAAAAAAACATACCTAATAGATTTCTTATATTTCAGATTCCGGTCATCAACATGGACTACTATTCTTGATTGTGTATTTTGTATAAAATTAGATCTCGTTTGAAATTCAAATTCTTTAAATTCTCATTTGAATTAAACAACTTCCTAATTTGTAGAATATAAAAACCTACCATATATCTTTTTTATTATTATAATGTAAATCTTAAATCTCATAACTTCCCAACTTAAGGATGCATGAAACATGTGCACATACTCGTAAATTTCAGTGAGTTTGCTTAAAGGAAGCCTTGAAACTTGGCACCATAACCGGTGCCGAACTGTGGGGCTTGTACCAAGGACTCCAACGGGCATGGGAATTGGGTTTTCGCCAAATTATAGCGGAGAGCGATAGCCAATGTGCGATCTGAATGGTTACTGGCACACGAGCCCACTTTGGGGTCTATGAATCCTTAGTTGGTGCCATTCGGGACTTGATTGATCGAGAATGGAGCATCAAGATCCAGCATGTGCACAGGGAGGCCAACTACGCGGCAGATTATATGGCGACATTAGCGACTTCACTTCCTTTAGGTCTCCAGAGATTTCAGTCTCCTCCTCAAGGATTAGACGCATGGATGGATCACGACTCTCAAGGGGTGGCACACCCCCGTAGCATCCTAGTTTCGTAGTCTTCAGGCCTTTGGCCTCCATCTTTGTACCAAAAAAA